CCGATTTTTACCAAACTCACCCTGAATGAGGTTGAAGTATCAATATAAACCGAGGTAGAAAAATATTTCTGGGTTTTTATCAAATATCACGATTTTTTGACATGCAATATGCATCGAAACCAACTCAAATCAAGGATTATGTAAAAAAAATTGCGCAAAAATATTTAAATCGATTGAAGAAATAACTTTTAAAAAGTTGCAAGTTTTAGTGGTCTTATATGCTAATTTTAGACCAAATCAGGGTAAAACCAATTTTGCTCAAAAACTCAATTTTTTCAACGTAGAACAAAAAACCGATTAGAACACGTTAGTAGGCTCACAGAAAGGTGTCCAGGATCTGAGTTTCAAGGTTTTCGAAATTTTCATTGTGGCCGGATATTTTCGATTTTGCTCGATTTTTCTGGACAGTCGCTCTTAAGTAGTTGACAAGGAATGAAAAGGAATTTCATACAAGTATTATATTTCTTTATCAATTACTGTATAGCATAGTGCCGAGTAGTCACCAAGATAAACCATCCATTGATGTCACACATTCAATCGGAATGATTCAGTTGTCACCTCAGTCGTAATTCAATATCCTCGTGCACTTGTTCATTTATCGATCCAAATTATTCAATTTCAGTCGCAATTCAGGCGGTTTCATTTGGCTGCGACGTTTTACTCCTGACTATCTATCTATCCAGCTAGCATTTCAGCAATTTCCTCTCATTCATTCATATATTCTCAGTTCTTCTCAGTTGTTCATTCAATGTGCGTCGGACAACTTAGTGCCCGTCCAGGAAACGTGTCCAGGAAATAGCCAAACATGAAAATGATAGTGATGATATTGACCATTTTAGTGATTGATATTTCAAGCCAATTTTTATACGATTATTCAGTCAACCTTCATTCCAGTCGTTCATCCCACCCAGTAATCCATTCATTTTTTCATTCCTTAATGCATATATATTCGGCATTTGTTCGGTTAAAATGACTGTTTATTTCTCAGCTCAAGCGACGTTATGTATCCAGTGTAACAAATGCCATTCTAAAGTGTCTTGGGACGAATGTATTAAGTTCCAAGAAGCTGTGAACTGCTCTTCGATTTTCAATAGATGCCTCACTTTTCATAAAATACTGACTGGACCTAATGGCAAGACCCAACATGAATATCAGAAAGACTGTTACCATGACACAAGCTGCAGATCTTTGGAATGCAAGAACTCCCAGTGTAACATGGAATGCTGTAACACAACGATGTGCAATGACGGCATCACGAAATTATCAAATGAAATCCCTATTTTATCACCGAAAGATAATGAAATCAAACATCACAAGAAGCAAAAGGAAAATGCTAAAAAAAGTAAGACCTCCCAAGTATTAGTATCCTTAATGCACTGTGCAAGAACTGCTGACTTATGACATAATAGGTTACCAACTAAGTAAGGTTGTTGCCAAATAAGTAGTGTTTAAAAAACGAGGAGTGCTTTGATTTTGCTTCCAGCCCCCAAAACTTAGATTACTGAATAGGTGTTCAATGAATGAACTTTCGATGGAGTTAAATCTGAATTAATCTATGAATATCTTATAACGCTCACAGTATCTCTACGGCCCCGTAATATGAGAATTTCTTAATTTTCAGAACCGCTGGAATGTTATTTGTGCAGTTCTGCACATTCCTGGGAAGACTGTCACAAGAAACAAAAACTGGACAAATGCCCAGAACAGCTAAACGTTTGTACAACATATCACTTGGTATTAACTCTGCCCAGTGGAAATCAGGAACACAAGTACAATAAAGGATGTTGGCACGACAAAGAATGCTCCAATGAACGATGTCGACTGACTGATGTTGAGGTCAAAGGCACGTGGTGTGACATGCGCTGTTGTAACTCAACGAAGTGTAATCGCGGTGGGATTCAAAGAAATACTGGAAGTGTAGCCCTGCAGGTCATTGACTCAGCAAATGCGGCTGCTAAACTAAATCAACTTTCGATTCTGACAGCTATGGTGATCTTAGTACAACTTGTCAGCGGTACCTACATTTAGTCTCTTCAGGTCATGTTGAATCGTGTTGGGTACTGGACCTAGTTCCCAGACATATACCACTATCAGTCATTAAATTAAGTCAGCATTTGTAGTCAGCAGGCCGTTGACATAGCACGTGAATTATATGGAACAAGAACTACTTTCTCTTCTAAACTCTGCAGAAAAAGTACCTTTGGTGATGATGGGTGTGGTCACATTTACGATTGGATATCTTGCGAATCCCTTCAATTTCAATTGAAGACTGTTGTGACGTTACATGTACAAAGAAATAACGATATCTGGAAAACGAAATAACTGCCCTCTATCAAAGAAAAACTCTTTCATTATGATAATAGTGTAAATACATGATATAAGTTGAAATTAATCTTGGAAACAATATTGTTAATTGATAAACTTAATTGTAAATATATGTATATATATCTATCTATCGTGAAATAAAGAATCACATTGATTGCTCCGTTTTCCTCTCCATGGCAAGTCCATTTCAACAAATTTAGTTTCCGTTGAATATTGTGTTAAAATGAAAGAGCACGTGTAAACTGGATGACATTTTGTTGTACATAGATATTTTTGTGTGAATAAAGTCCATCAATACTATACATTTTGAATTTCTTTATTACACTCGCAAATAACGATGGGACCGAAAATATAGAGAAATAAAGGAATGCACGATAACGTTTCACCGTCGTTGAGCCTGCAAGTAACAATGCGACAGTACAGCTGCTCGCGCATGTTCATGCAAAATTGCTCCTTGTTASAAAAAAATAAACATTAATGTGACGAATAAAAGATGGCAGTTGATGTTCATAGCCAATCCAATTTGATGTTTTCTTAACAGTCGCTCAGCACTGCTGTAAATAATCTGCGTAACTCCACGACATTATATTACACCAGTGTAATGTACCTAAAACCCACGATACGATGGAAAACAAATTGATATTTTCGGTTGTTTTCGTCTTTTTGTTTGTCGTCAAGTTTGAGCAAGGTAAAATCTATTCTAATAGATCATTACATACATACATACAGCGTGGACATAAAATCATTCTTTCTTTGGCATATAACTATAATACAACGACATGGAAGTGATGCATAAATGTCTCGCCATTGCTGTACGTTGATATTCTGCTAAAACGGGATGATTATCTATCGTAGGTTTTTGTCTGCTGTGCCCAAAATGTTATTTTGCCACGTACTTCCCAGTGTGCGCCAAACCTATTCCTGTCAACTGGACAAGCTGTATTAGTAATTCAATCATGAAAACTTGTAGGAATGATCAAGTGTGCATGAAATACCGAAAGTAAACTGTTACTAGTTATCTTATTTATGTAATAAGAAGTAATAAGAAATTGACTGTTAAAGAGGTTAAATATAGAACGTTGGCCTCGGTTACGACCATCGGGGCCATTGATTGTTGGATATTCCATTGCATTGTTAGATCTTTCAACAAATTCTTTGAATATCAAGCAGGCAAACAGCTTTATAATACATATGACAAACAAAAACCATGTCAGAACAGGTTAACTAATGAATGGTTGCTAATCATTGTGTTCATTCACGTCTTCTTGTATCGGCGTATTTTTCAGAGTGACACAATTCAAGAAAGGTTACCAACAAGTCGAGTACGCAATCTTTTGTATTGAAAAAGATGGATGCAACAAACAAGAGTGTCCTCAGCCTTCTTATATGCATAACACTGAGGAAGAAATATCTGATATATCTGGTATTTCTTGCTTTGATTTCAAGTGTGCTGCTGACAACGTGACCCCTGATCAACTTATCAGCCATCAACCCATCACTGTTTCTCAACTAAAGAGTTCAGAAGAAATTGGCATGTTGTTAGTGTATGTTGTATGTATTGTGGTATCGTGTATGTGTTGTTGTTTATTTTCTATTTTATTGTATGTTTATTTTAACTTGACTGAATCGGAAAATTGTGCCCGTGGTCACTGCTGTTCGGCGTAATGCATCAGTCAAATGACCGTGGCCCTGGGAAAATTAATATTTCAACAACTTTAAAGGCACTGCAATTCGCGGACCTTAGAAACCACAGGCGGTTAAATAGATCTTTTCCTTTGATTAGACGTTATGTCCTTCCCACAGCCATAATATGCTTATCATCTCCGGTCATATCGGGTTTGTACAGCGAAGGGGGGAAGGGTAGGGGCTCAATCGACTGATGCATAATCATCATCATCATCATCAGGTCGAGCTTGCTCGGCTTAAAAAATAAACCTTATCAGTAATTAACAAGAATATTCCATATATGGAGAGCGYAAAACCAGGATGGACGTTAGCTATTCAACTGAGCGAGTTAAACACTGAAGATATTCTTTCAGATAAAAACTCACAAATATTGTAGAAAAAAAGACCTGGTCTTATATAAAGGTCCACAGTGTCAACTCTGTTCATTAAATTTGTATTTACATATGCAGCAATTGTCTCGTGTTGGTCTCTAGCAGTAATTAATTTACAATGACTTTAATCTATTTTTTATTTTGTTTATTATTATCACTTTTTAGTGTCAACCTTATAAAAAACTTTACACAGTCCGTTCCCGGCTTGCACTAGGATTGGGCAACGTTTTATGATTGGTTTATCAACCTATCTTTGACAGATTAGTCCAACTTAATGCAGTAGATGTCAATCATGGAAAAAGTGATCAAACTATAGTCTGAGGAGTATGTGACATGACAGTAGAGTTAAGTTGTAGTCCGTTACAAAATGGATCGTATCGAGAATAATTTCTCTACTATCGTAGCTTTTTCCTTATTAACAGCCGTTGTTGGGTTTCAGGTTAGTGTCCAAGGACGATCATCTTGTTCACAGTTCATGTATGAATATATTATCATAACATAACCGTTAAACACTAGTGAATCAATCSATCACATCGATAGTCTTGAAAACTTTAACAACTGTTTGTTGGTTTACAATCACATACGAGTATTTCTTGATCTTTGACTGTACTGTCTGATGACAATATGTGCTTATGTCTAACTTCACTGGTAGTTTAGCAAAGCCTAGGCTGTTCATTCGTTCCCTGAAGTCACTAGAATGGATATTTATTCTATTTGGTATAGAACTTTGAGTAGAACTCTGTTTGTTTTAAGTGGTTTAGCTTATGGCGTGTCCCAAGCAAGAATGCAAATTAATTAAACATTGCTAGTTTTATCTTGGTTTGCGTTCTTCACGGTATCATTTCCGTTATGGATCTTAGAATTTGATCTGTGGATTTATTAAAACCGACCGCACAACGACACCAAGATGACCTGCWATAGAAGTGTTTTGAATTCTGCTGAATTTAGAATGTTGATAAAGCAAACAAACTAACCTCAAATCAACAGTTAATGAAATATAAAACGTCTTTCAATATGCCAATTAAAGTGTCACGCTATTGTCAACATTTTGACAGAACGTTGTCGGACAACTGGAAYTGAACTCTCTATCCAGTCTTTATATTGTATACTGAATTCCTGCTTTGCTCTTTTACAGTAATGTTTCTTTTATCTCTGAACCTACTTTATCTCTTATCGCGAGCTAACAGTGATTAAGGGGAGTAATTAGGGTCAATCATGAAGAAGAGCCGGCGGGGCGAGGGAGCATGTGCGTTACGAGGTCAAACACAGCCAGAGCCAGTGGTTAGAGTGTCCAGTGGTCCGATTTAAGCATGCGCGGTCATACCTGAAAGTATCAGCTACGTTATCATATTGCTATCTAATCTTAGGTTATTGGTCTGGGACTTTACCAAGCAGGTGCCCTCCATCTTAAGTCCACAAACACAATCCTTATCCAAGCCCTCTTGAATATGGCCCTMGGGTCAATATTGTGGTACAGCGTTGGGTATTCGTTAGTATTTGGTCCATCACAGAAGGTTTGTTTAAAAGAACATGGTGACGCCCTCCAGTGTTAAAGTATACGCTGTTTACACTAGTTTACCGCTAGTTTCACCACAATTTTAAAGTATACGAGCATGCGGGAGTTTATGAAACAACGTTGAAAACATCAATTTTCTATGTAGTACAGTGTAAAATATGATGTATATTTCTGTAGACGAGGTGCGCCCTCTCGTATCAACCAATCAGAACGCACGTTGTTAACAAGTTATTTCTATTAAACTTAATTCAATTTACAGGATATTTTTTTAATCAAGCATACTGGTATCGACTGATCTGTAGCGCAATTTAAATCACAACAGAATCGATACTTTGCGTTGGTTTTGATAAACGTTCAACCTTGAGAGGATGGTCGAACAGCTGACATTGCTTGRTGGTGAAAACAGCTGACAGGCGATTCACAACCGTCTCTTTTAGTACAACATGATGATTTTTAGTTKGAAGTCGTAACAAACTACGCTTGTACATTAATTTAGGGATTTATAGGAAGTCCAGCAATGGCGTTCTTCATCGATGTACCTGTCAACGACTCTACGCATGCTCACAGTGTACCTAGTATATCGGTAGCAACATTTGAGATGTTGTTAGCTGTATGTGCACCTTTTATGGTTATCGCTGCATGGTATGTCACTCTCTCGAGTTCATACCAATTTAATGTTGTTTTTTGTTAACGATGAATTTCTGCTTTCTGCTGTTATTTTGTTGATTTTAGGACGCAATTTCTAAGTACAATTGGATCTATAGTAAGTACAAACAATATCGAATTCCCATATAACCTTTTTCTGCCGAATGGATTGCATCAGGAAGATGTTATCATGCATTTCTTGTACTTTCATTAGTCGTATTGCGAGATTTTTCATAGTAAAAATCGTCCAGTCAACCAATATTGATATTTAATTTCAGTGTCTGTTTGTCCTTTGGCCTATTGTTGTTTATTATCCGCTGTCCCATTGGATAAGAGGAGGTGGATGGCTGCAACAATTGTCTATTTTAGATTACGCGGGAGGTCTAACTGTTCACRCTAGTTCCGGTAAGGCTTCATACTGTACTCTTTGGTGAATTTACGTTCCTTCTTTGTGCTCAAGAACAACACTGGATCATTAAAAAAAGGGAATTCCATGAGTAACARACTATTTGAACAAATCAGACTCGAGAGTGACAATCACGACAATCAGTCAAAACAGTATGTCTTCATAGAAAGCAAAGATTATTTTGTTTCATTTGAAGGTATTGCAGGTTTAGTTCTMACAAGAGTCCTTAGACCACACCTAACAGCTCAAATAGGAACAAAGACATCTCATCACCATGGAGACGTAATTAATCACGTCATCTTCATCATTGGTGCCCTAGTAACCGCGTTTGGTTGGTAGGTAAATTTTGTTCACAACCCGACCGCACGATTGCCTCCCGAAGTATACGATAGCTTCCCGAAATACGCGCTTCGTTCTCAGAACGAAGTACGAAGGCTTGCCAGATCAGTACGTTATGTTTTCTAGGTTTGTGTTTAATCTTGGTTCTGTGGGAATGACATCCAGCTACAGTTCTACAGGKCTATCTGTGGTAAATACATATCTCTCGTCCAGCGCGTCATGCCTGTGTTATGTTCTTGTGTTTRCTCTTGGATTTAAACAGTGTCTTTACTCGGATTTAGTAACGGGGATAATTGCTGGTGCTGTAGGTATATAAATCACTATTAAATTCCATGACGAATTKCACGATTACAGTATTACAAACATTACTTGAAAGGTTTTAAAACAATACAAGTTTTGTCCATTMCCAGGAGTCAGTGCRGCCCCAGTATCAATACAACCATGGGCCGCTCTCGTCACAGGAATACTGGTGGGTATGACGTCATCTCTGGCACAATTTTGTGCGCGTAAATACGTGCCTTTRTGGACCAATGGGAGCACGGTTGACTTGTCGTACACTCATGGAATCTCGGGAATAATTGGGTCTCTAGCAGGTAAGAAGCTTCAAGAAATATCATTCAATCAACAATGTCTTGAAGGATATATCGAAAGACAAAYCAATCCTTCKCCTATCAATMACTACTGTACTTTGATTCCAGCTGGTCTCTTTACCGACYCCTCCCTCGACATACATGGACACCGAGGAGGTTTTTATTCCAACGGTAAACAGTTTGGCGTACAAGTACTTGGAGTAACAATAGTTTTGGCTTGGTCAGCGGTATTGACCTATCTGATCACATGGTTTATTCAYCTAACTGTAAGTATTAACCAATGAAAAAGCTTCTTCCTTCATTTGATTTGATTTAGAATGTGGTGCAAGCTCATATTCAGTGTCAGARGTCAATGTAAAATAACGTGCAGAATTTTACAAKGTKTCTTGTTTTTATGCTTTAAAAACGCGAGTGCTACATCATATCAAAGATYCCAAAACAGGAGATARAAACGCTGTAGTTTACTAGTCTAATGGCGTTTTTTAGGTGGGATTTAACATTACAAGAATTACAGCTAAAAGTATTGTAGGAGGTAGTCCATCAAACAGACGACATACTGACTACAGATCTAAACTCCTTAATGCTGCAATTAATGGACAATTGAAAGATTTACAGGAACTAGCAGCAAAACATGTCAACTTCAACATGAAAAACTTTGACTACCAAACCGCACTGTAAGTCCCATTACTGTCTGTCTCACCTCCAAACTGTCTAAGATTACAACCTCGTTAATTATGTATAGTCCGAGTGGGTTGATATAAAATTTCATCAGGGGCGGGTCCATGATCTTCTTCAGGGAGGGATCAGGGCACTCGGGAGGGGTTGCACTCCACAAAAAATAATTACATAACTGGAGACACAAAACAAGGGAAAGTATCGAAGCATGCGATGTCTGCGGGAGGGCCCCCCTTGCATCAATCACCTGGATCCACCACGTTTCACAGTAGAATAGTTGAAAGTAACGTAACGYTTACAGTGCTTGATCTTCCAGTCTATGATATACAATATACACCACCATTTCATGTAAGTTTTAGGTTTTGCATTTCCTGGTTTTTAGATTACTTGCCTCATCACATGGCYATATYCARTGCGTGAAATTCATACTTCGTCAACCTACTGTTGATATACATGCCAAAGACAGATGGGGATCCACTGCCCTTACTGGTAAGACTACTAGATTCGCAAACCCTCACATAACCTCACCTRTTGACAATTTCTTTTATGTCGTACGTACAGAGGCTATCAGATACGGTCATGATCGAATCGTACAATGTTTGATACGACATGGATGCAGCTGGACTCAAGATGGAGCTGGCGATATACTCTGCACTGCTGTAGGTAAGTTTCCTGAGATTATCCTGTACAAAACTTTGCTCGCGATGAGATCACAGTGTTCAATCGTTTCATTGTTGGTATGTGGTATTAATTATCAACGTATATCAGGTAGGAATGATATGGAGGAAATTGCCAGGCTTGTTGCACTGGGAATGGATGTCAATGCAGCAAATTCAAATGGCAGTTACGCCATTCACTTGGCAGCAAAACTAGGAAGTCGAGTACTGGTACAATACTTGATTGACCAACGAGCTGATATCAAYACTATTGACTCAAGTGGAAATACACCTTTAAATGTAAGTTGAAGGGCTTTTTGGAACTGATTTCTTGTGCGAAGTTGTATGTGTAGTGGTGACATGATTCCTATTTTGATRTCTCTTCCTAGTATTCTGACATGCACGAGCAAAGAGCTGTCAGTCAACTTCTAGAGGGACTGGGCGCAAGACGTGCGTCTCGCCATTATAGTATTCAAGAAATCTGTGAGGTTGCAACTACAGGAAATCTACAAATGCTACGCCATATGGTTCACAATGGCGCTTSTGTGTGCTACAGAGATGTCAATCATAGAACTCCACTGTAAGTTCCTTTAARACATGGACAATAATAAACAGGATTAAATGTTATTTTTTRTTGTGTAGACATGTGAGTGCWTCAGAAGGACACCTTGATGTTGTCAAGTTTTTGGTTTTACAACCAGGAATTGATRTAAATGCTGAGGACAAAAATCATTTTACAGCTCTTCTTGGTAGGTAGTCAATTTAACCCCTGAATGATATTGCCCCAGTATTTAGCAACCACATAKAATGACACACCAAACATCRTTTGGGATACCAGCTCAGCTATTGTATTCAAAGAGAGATTCATGACCAAAGTTTTTTCATTTTATCAGATTCTATMGTCAACAATCATCATGAAGTTGTTGAGTTTCTCAAGTCTCATGGGGCAACAGTAAATGACTATAGATTAGCATTATTAATGACAGAAATGGCACGCACTGGTGAYATCAAAAACCTAAAGCGTATGTTAAGATGGACGRGTCATGTGGACATGTTTGATTTTGATGGYAACACTGCCCTTCATGTYGCKTCAATAAATGGTAGGGCTGATGTTGTTGGAATGCTGTTRAAAGAAGGAGCAGGTAAARAAATTCTCATCAACATCATTATTCATTRTCCACACCATCATCATCATTGTCATCATCATTGCATTTTGCATCACCATTTTGTACTGACATAGTTTGTGTTCTAGATGCTTGTTTGATGAATCGATTCAATGAGACTCCATTAGAGGTCAGTATTAATTGTTCTAAATATGTAATGATTTTTCTAAATGTTTTCATTTTCTCCAATTACGTATATCTCAGCTTGCATCCAGCTATCAACATGCCTTGGTGGAAAAAGAACTTAGAAAACATCTAAAAGTAACTTCAGTAAGTCATGATCTCTTTTGCAGTAGTAATAGTGAACAGAGTCTTTGCCTCTATGCTTCCATGTAACTTCAAGAAATTATTATAAAATCAAAGAATCTTTCATCTTCATTGTTTTGATTCAAGCATTTACAAGACAAAGAAGAAAACGACRATTCTTTAACATCCTGCTATCAGAGACAAASCAAGATACCCAAACGAAACTACAAGACAAAACCATCAACGTACCATTATCAACCAAGAGACTCATGGTCTTCAACAGACATATCACTTGAACCAAGACAAAAACAAAACACAGATCAACARCAAAAGACAAAAACCCTTGATAATCATSAGAAAACCCCCATTGCTCCTTCRTTCCTACATGTSATGCCAGTATCACAACTATCACCACAAACGAGAGAACTKACTGGTGGCAAACCAGATTATGTTTAGAGCACTATTTATTTAAAAAATAATTTAGATAGAAATTTTTAAGGAAATATTTTTAAAAAATGCATAAAAGACTATTTGCAAAGTAAAGACTTTCATTTTTATGTTCTAATCAGTTATTTTATCTTACTTGAGCTAAATAAATATGATAAATGGCAAAAAGATCACTATTCCTCCAAGTCATCTTCTGTMTCTTCAGTGTCTTTATTAGTCCTCAAGCTTTTTCCTTGGTTTCTAACAATCTGCAATATAACATTGAATACAGAAAATGTCAGTAATCATTTAAAGAACAATCACAGCCCTTAGAACGCAGAAACAAATGTGATTATGGTTGTCCCTCTGGGGCTTTGTTGCTTTATACACCCTTATTTTGTGGCTCCCTTGTGGTAATATTTTGGAGTATGCAGCCCTTCCTTGGAAGAACTGCAATCCTTCCTGAAAGAGAAGAAGATCCTTGATCTTGATAGATCTCTTTCCTTTATAGGCTTGATGGAAATGATAAAGATTATAGCACACAGGAAAACTGAACCCTGGGAGGCTTTGACCCCTTGCCAATCCCTAACCCCTCTCATGTAATTTTTTTACTAAACATTGTAGCTGTACACATCCCTTTGAACAGAAATCCATTCCCTTCACTTACGTTGATGTATTACCTTCTCATAAATATCTCTTTTCATTGTCCATGTTGATTTTTTGAAATACTTAAGATTTTGCTCTGTGAAGTCTTGGTCTTTTGTCTTCACTTTGCCTGATTGGGGTCACACACATTTAAAAGGTTATTGTTATGAAGATTATTAGTATAATGAATGTAAAATAATTATTAATAATTTAATATATTATTCATGGGACATTCTAAAGTAAAACAGTAATATAAAACATTAACTTACCGTTTTTATTGTTTGAATTGTAGGGAGAAGTTCGCGTTCTTTGGCCTCTTTTAGGTTTCTTGGCTTTGCCTTTCTGCTTCTTGTGTTCATCTGTGGAGGCTACGAAGTCTAGTCCTTTCTTTACAAGCTTTGAAGACATGTTTCTAGTACGGGTACGTGTAGGATTATAAGAAAACACGTTTAAAATGAGCTTCAACCGTCCGAAGTATGAAGATTTTCATAACATTTTCGAGCTAGAAAACACGTGGAAACTACTTYTTAAAACGAAAACATTGGTGCTTAGTAGCCACTCGTTGAAAGTGGTGCTTAGTGACCACTCCTTGATAGTATACTTCGATATGATTGGATAATCACGATATTCCCAGGATTCATAGAGATCTTGAATCAAAATGGCGGGCAATGAGAGCTGTACTTAGGTGTACTTTAGGTCAAAGTGGCTACAAATTATCAAGTAATATCTCTAGCTGAACCTCTTTAGTCAAAGATGAATATGCTAAAAACTCCAGATGATAGCACTGCCGTCGTGAGAATGATGGGAGAGTTCAATCGGTTCCTCTCGGACCCTGAAGTGAGTGGACTCGGAGATCCAAAATTACGTCTAACGTATGATGATCTTACTGAACCTATAGCTGCAGTTGGAAAAAYCACTGGGAAATMTATYACTGATCATAAGCCCACTAGGAGCATCACTAGATCTCAGAGTAGTGGCGCTGTACTAGGGAAAGATCGWGAGAAAGATTTAGAGCTCATCAGAAATCGTAGCAAAATCGCACATTTGGAAAGTGAGTTGAATTCAATGGAATCTTCACGTAAAAGAGCTAGAATTGAGCACGAGAAAGATTGCCAAGTGCATAAAAATGAACTTCTTAAACGTTCTGAAGACATGGAAGATTTAGAACAAACAGCAAGATATGCTTTAGATCAGGAGAAGTTTGTCAAAGAACAGTTGAACGATTTAAAGAAAGAATATGAAACATATAAAACAAAGGTCGAAAAAAAGACCAATAATCTACAAAGAGAGAAGTTAAAGCTCAGTTCAGAGATAGAAGAGGTTGGTCAAACAAAAAGATTGAAAAAACAGTATTAAAATTTTGTCAATTTCTTGATTGACAGCATGCACAACTAAGTGATCCACTCATGGTTGGTGTACAGCGATGAGACATAGGATTTGCCATTTAGTTGGAATAAAAAGAGAGGTAGAGCTGATATGACCTCAGTAAAACATGCATCAAAAGGCGTCAAAGTGTTGTATCTTGGTGCTGAAGCGCATGTTTTCCTAAGGTCATATAGGCTCCACATTTCTGTACATAGGTATACCATATATGGGTATGTCTATGAAGTTTGAGCTACTTGCATAGGGCAATAAAATGATATTGGTGGTGTAAGAGTTTTCTGATGTAATCAGATTTCATAAAATCTTATGTTATTCTTTGTACAACCACCTTTTACAGTAATTTACTCAGGCAAAAGATAATCCTTTATTCTACAAGGGTATGATGAAGTGGAAGACAAAATGCAATAAGATTATTTTGGCTATCAATTTTCAGATAAAAGAAGAAAACAGTAGAAAACAACTTGACTTGAGGAATTCAATCACTAGGTATAAAAGTCCTCATTTATTATTATCATTGTAATAATTACTTGTGCCTTTATTCTTCACTTTTATTTCTTCTATTGACAGATTAGAAGCAGACAAGATCATCACACAAAACAAGCTTGAAGAATCTGAAGCACAGTTGGAGATATTTAAATGGTAATCACTTCTACCATATATTTCACAGTGTGTTTATTGTCACCATTATTTATGCTGTATTTCTACTTTGATGATCTGTTGATAGGAGATATGCCACAGCATCAAAGAATCTGGCTGAGTTAGAAGAGCTTAGAATGGCAGCTAGCACAGCAGATCAAAAAGTGAAGGTATATTGCCCTGAAGGACAAGTGAACATTATTCATTGTATCTCTTGAATGATTTATTTAAAAAAAAGAATCATCAATTTTGATATTTGTTTACTGGTTAGGATTTACAGTTGAAGATATCAGAACAAGAGGATGCAGCCACCATAGCCATGACCATGAAGAATCAACTAAGTCGATACAGAGAACTGGAAAAACAAAATTTTAAACTTGAAGAAGACAACCGTTATTACAGAGAAACCAATGAGAATAATTTATTGTTGAAAGAACAGATGGAAAGCATGAAAGCAAAACTACAAMGAGCTGACCAAAGAGTCAAAGATTTAACCATCATGGAAATTGAAAATGAGGTGAAGTTCAATACTTTTGATCAAACAATATTGACAACTAATTACAAATAATTATTGAATGAATAATTTATGTAATTAAGAGCTAAAATATGCTATCTGTTCAAATAAAAACCACCAATTTGCTGTGGCGCCAGACAGCAAATTTATTTTCGTAGCATCCAGTTTGGTCTGCAACTATCACAACATAATGGCCTCAATTCAACTACTCTATTGTTTAAATAGGAACTGAAAAAAAGAATCAAGAAATGGGAATTAGAGGAATCATCCAGTGGTAAGAAGGCAGCATCACCAGCACAGCTGACACAGGAAATATCCAAACTACAAAAAAGTCAAGTGGTTTTRTTAGAAAAGCAGAGTGATCTGTTAGCAAGGTTAGAATCACGTGTTTTGTTCAATCATCTCATGATGATTGTGATGATTGAATGATTATAATAAGTCTGCTTTTATAATAATTATTTGTTGTCATTTTATACTATTCCAGTTCATAAAACTGTAAATAAAGCACTCATATAATAATGATTATTTTAAATTGATAGAATTAGTATTGATGTGGAAGTAATGACCATTAATTTTCATGATTCATTGATACTAGTGCCCAGATACATGAATCTGCACATGAGAAAGCCAAAGCTGAGATGAATTCATTGCTGAAACAATTGGAGGAGCTCAAGGTTTGTCAGGAGTATACACAACATAAACACATGTATATATATAGTAAGTACATATGGATATTTAAATCGATGCTAACAAGAATACCAACTCATTTATTTTCCAGGAAAGTGAGTCCAAATACCAGGAAGAATGTCAAAAACTCCAGCGAAGACTGTTCATGATAACAGCTGTAAGTGTATTTAACTGCCATTACTGTAGTCAGCGTTAATAACTATAGTTATGTAGCCATTGTTTTATGAATTGTTTTGTGTAAATTGATCATATTCCAGGAAAGAGATGGGATTCGCCGAATTCTTAATGTGTATGACAATAATCTATCCTCTAATTATGAACCACAACTAAGAGACAGACTCCAAGAGGTAAACAAAATGATTAAGTTATTACATGTTAAATATAAAATGTATAACAAAAATTCCTCTTTTTTCTCGTAGACTGAACAAAGGCTTGTGACATGTCAGGAACACATTGACACAGTGGAGGTAAAAAAAAACTATCTATCCATCTATCCATACATGTTAAGTCCTGTAGGATTTTATAGGAAATATTTGAATTCTTGTTTAATTGCAATTTTGTTTTTATGTTATTTTAAGACTGAGATAAGTCAAGCAAGACAGGAAACTGCTTCWSAAAAGACWAAAGTCAAACAGGTTTTTATTTATTCATCCACACTGCTTATTGATGGATGTTATAATATGCTTTCAATACCTGGTCATTGAGCTTTCTCGTAACTAGCCATGAAACTAGCGTGAGAAACAGCTTCTTTAAAATGATAAATCAAAAAGGACAGACACYTTRTCATAATGAAATAGMCTYATTTTTGGCTGTGAATGATACATCWAAARTAAATMATTTATCACTAAATGCATTTCATAATATTAATTATTGCTCACTCAATGGATTGATTTTTCTCTTAGCTTGAAAGAGAACTGTCAGAATTAAGAGCCAGGAAACCAATTCAAACTGCGTCCATTGGTGCAAGTAGTGAGTCTGAATTACAAAAACTAAAAGAAGAAAACAAAAAGCTTTCTGAAAAACTTGAAATGTTTGAACTGCGTAAAGACCAGATGCACATGCAGGTAATGTACCTTACTCAAGCATTCTTGAWATTTCACTATTTRATGCACTTTTGATGTTGTTATCCATCATAAAGTAAGACTTTCAGGCTGACATTTCATGTATTTCCAGGGMTACTATGATCCTTACAAAACCAAAGTTCTTCATTTCTCAATGAACCCAGCAAGTATTGCCAGACAGCAAAAAGCTGAAGAGCTTGAGAAATTGCGAAAGGAAAATGAAGCCCTACGTCTTAGATTGCAGGGTGCTGAGGGAAAGTCTCCTTCTGGAGCAACAAATTCAGATAATAAACAAGTAACACCAGAACTGACACACAGCAGTTCAAAAGAAATTGAAGGTACCTTCAATGGTATAGAGTAGGTTATTAGATATAACTTTAATTTTTTTCTTTTGAAATAATGTTTCAGAGGTTAAAGCTCAACTGTCATCCTCTGAATTAAGAAATCAACGTTTAAAAGAGGTAAGTATGAAATGATTATCAGTTTTAAGATTAAGGATAAAAATTCTAGAAGTGGATACGTATGTTTGGTATTTTGTAGGTGTTTTCCAAGAAGATTCAAGAGTTTCGTGAAGCTTGTTATGCATTAACAGGTTACAAGATTGATGTTTTACGTGACAAGCAATACAGGTTACAATCAATGTATGCTGAAAGATCTTCTGATGATTTGCTATTTGAGGTAAAAACGGCTTGTCTTATTTAAACTAATCACTTATTGACTTCATATTTTGTTCAATTGAATTCAATTTGTATTCACTCTGATTTGATCAATATTATTACAGAACAGACAATCCTGACAAGACTGCCTTGCCTTGATTAGTTCTACTATTAGCAGATCAGGCACTCCTTCTAAATTATAATAAAGAAATATTACAATGAAAGTCTACATGTATTTATAATTTTTATTTTCAGAGTAGCAACAAAGGAGAAATGATGCTTTTAGAAACAGATTTTTCATCGCAAGTCAGAGAACACATTGAGACATATCTGAGAAGAATGAACTCAATCCCTGCTTTCCTTAGCAACGTAACCCTTGATCTATTTAGCAAACAAACCACTACAATTGTTATCAACTAGCACGTGACAGGCACGTGATCGTTAACCATTCACGCATTGTTGTCAGCTATTATCAAATGTTATAATATTAMACTTGATWGACAGAAATAGGTTGGCAATATCAATCGTATATGATAAATTAAAGTAAGATAATTTTTTTTAATTAAACTAACAATAAGCATTGCAGGAAATGTAAATAAAATTTTTCTCTTAAAACAATTCAATGGCGAATTGTGGCGTTATTCTACGGTTGCCGAGTGGCTTTTATGATAAGGAGATTGATCTAAAAGGTTTCACAAAACCTTGCATAGACTGGTTTGATAACTTAAACCTAGTCACAGCGTTTACGTCTGACCATAGCACTTGAGTTTTCCCAGGGTGTGGTAACCTTGTTCACGGCTATCATCAGTGTCGCCAAACCTCATCTGAGCCACGGGTAGAGTGGACTTGTCAGTCAGCAGACCGCTGTCAGAAAACCATTTACCTGAACTTCCAACATTGTTACAATTACATCCTTTTGAATTTTCGCAAGTGTTGGTCATACCACAGGCACATTTACCACTTCCTGGTGTCGCCCCGCCCCAGTACTCCTGACGTATACCATCACGTGACACCCACCAAGCGTAACTTTCTCCAATAAACTGGACGTCATTTTTGCATTCAAATTTGATAAACTGCTCACAGTGGGCGGATATTTGTGTCAGTTTCGCCAATTGTGCCATCGATACTCCATCGTAGAAAACATTAATTGCACAAGATCCTGCTCTATCTGGACAGTTGTCAACAAGAGTCCTGATCTCACTATCATGGCCGACAAAAGTCACCCCTACGCCTCCCTTGTCAGACATGTCACAATACACAGAGAATGGCTTCTGCTCTGATTGGCCATCAGGGTCAATGACGTAGTCACCAGATGGTGTTTTTTTCGATTTCTTTTTCATCTGACTGCAGGACTTGAAATGTCGATTGACCTCTACCTTTGTTGCTGATTTGATAGATCGATGGAAGTTTCTAGCAATGCAAACATAATTCCCAGCGTCTTTCATGGAAATTCCAGGAATAATGAGGCTGCCGTTAGAATGGATAGATCCCTTTAAGGATTGGTTGTCTTTCATCCATGTTATTTCTACGGCAGCAGGTGCTTGACAATCAAGAATCACATGATCACCTAAGATATGTTCACACTGAGTTGGTGGTCGTACAGTAAATACGAGGGCTGGTTGGGTTTTCAGCTGAACAAGAAGTGACTCACTTCCAAATATATTCTTCGCTTTGCAAGTGTAAATACCATCATCTGTTTTCATGATATTACTGATTCTCAAATGTCCAGTGGAAAGTACTGTGGACCGCCCACCAGGAAGTGTCCCGAACAGCTTGGTCCATGAAATAGTAGGGCGTGGAACACCCGAAACATCACATTTTAAGATGGCGGATCTCTTTTCTTCAGCAAAAGTTGTTTCCTGTTTGACGGAGAATCGTGGAGGCCCTGCAAACGAATCAGACAACACGTTAAATTCAAAGTACACATCGCTAATTGATTGCACATATTTACCCTGTACTATGAGATCAGCCGACGCCCTTGCCACACCCAAAACACTTTTAGCTGTACATGTGTACCTCCCTGCGTCATTTAACCTCAGTTTGTTGATTGACAGCAGACCATTGGAATCAATCACGTGACGTCTCAAAGCTAATTGAGAGGTATCCTTTGACCACGTGATTTTAGGTGTTGGATGGCCTTTCACAAGACATTTCATTATTGTAGTGTCACTCTCATTCAAAATAAGGTCCTTTGGGGGTACAGATATGGTAGGGGCTTGCAAGGTTAGCCCTCCGTCATCTCCTCTTGGTCCCCTAGGTCCATGTATGCCTGGGGGTCCAGGAAGTCCTCTTGGTCCACGTCTTCCCATCGGACCTGGTGGCCCGCGGAGTCCTTTAGTTCCTTGTCTTCCCATTGGTCCTTGTCGGCCCCGTCGTCCTCTGCTTCCTTTGGGTCCCTGAAGACAAGCTTTTGAGTTTTTGGCACAAACCTCTTTCTTTAAGATGGCATGAATTTCCTGTCGAATCTTTTGTCGTAAGCTGTCAATGGAAGTGGTGTTTTGGTGGCTATTTCGTCGATATCTTGGTAGACCATCTAAAGTACATGAAAGTACCATTATAACGATAATAATGGATGCGGCCTGACTTTCTGGTACTGTGCAAGCAGGGTCTCTCTTTACTTCTTCGACAAGAAGTGTCTTCTTTTCAAATTTGTTCGTCGGGAAGGTAAAGGATACTAGATAAATCACTAGATTCTGCACTTACCTTCTCTTGGACTATTGTCTTGGTACTTGTTGTTTGCTCTCGTTTTAGTTTCGATGTCGTCACGAGCTGTTTGGACACGTTTAGTACACATGTATTCATTGATGTACAGTTTGTACTCAACATGCAATAAACCAATCAAACATACTAAGGACACCAACAAATTTGTACCAGAAACATAAAAACTACGATCTGTTTTCATTGTGTTTACATTTAGGTTTGAAAACAGAAGATAAAGGTTACTTAGGCCCCTGTTCAGTACTTAGTGGCCGTTCAAAATCAGATAGCACTTCAGAACATACCGATCTATATAGCTAGATATTTGTAATGGATACTACGATCACGTGCCTTGATCAACCCTGTTAACCCTGTCATGGAATGCAGACACCAGGAAGTGACATTGGCTGTGTAAAAACAAGCTTAATCTATATTCCAATTTCAATTCACAAGGTCAATTCAGTGACTTAAACTGTGAATTACATAAGTTATTTGGTGTGCTACATTCTCTCCTTTTTCCATACATACTCTTTCTTCTCAAACAAAACACATATTATATTTTTGTGTCTTATTGCC